TTCCAAGTCAATTTTTGTATATAACTTAGGGACTTGCATTTTTTCTTCTAGGCCTACCACACTTTCAGTCTCGACCGAAAAAATAGGTAGCCTAGGTTTTTCTTCTTGGCCGACCATATCTTCAGCCTCGACCGAAAAAATAGGTGGCCTTTGTTCTTCGGCCAAATTAACAATTTTCTTAGGCCGATGTCTGATTACGGCCGGAGCGAAAAATTGCCCCCCGGCCTTTGGGCCTAACCATTTTTCAAATGGAATTGATCTGTAATCAGAAACGTAAGGAAAATTTTCTTCATCTAACCAGGCATTAAATCGAGCCCTGTCTTCATTTACCCATTGCCCTTGCAGGGTAACAGGAGCTTTTATTTCCAACATGCAAGCGAATGACTTTTGCATCTCTCTATGGCCACGAAGAACTTTTTCTGCTTCCAAAGATTTTTTACATTCCTCATTATGTTTTTTCAATTCCTCCAGGAGCTCGTACAATCGGCTACGTTGAGCCAGATTGGAATCTTGATATATCATATGAACTTCGTAGTTTTAGCACTGGGTCCCACTGGGCGTGCCAAAATGTTGACCCTAGAAACTACAGAGCCTACGTGGCGCGCAGGCCGAGTATTTTCTAAGCTAACTACGTCCTTCGGTGATTGCGGGGCGTGCCAACTCGTCGGCCGAGCTCGGCCGAGGAGTAAATTTGTTGATGTTGCGTTGAGCGCGCTGTTGACTTCTATGTCTTGCGATTGCGGCCGAGGAAGGAACAATTCTCGGCCTCTTGGGTTCTAGAGCCTGAAGACAAGGCTGCTAATTTGCGAAGTTCAATCTCAAATTCGGCTGTCAATGTGCCGAATACAATAACCTGGTAACACCTCACTTCGCCGAGAAGGCTGATGAGATGACCTCGACCAATAAGGATTCGGAAATCCTTCTCGACCGAGACTTGGATAGGTAACCAGTCGTCCTCGCCGTAGTGCTGTTGATGCCAACGGAAGATGCTGCGAGATCGGCTGATTCTACGGTGATAGAGCTATCTATGCCGACTTAAGATATCACCGGTTGCCTTCACAGTGCTGTTGATGCCAACGGAAGATGTGTCAGCGAAAAAAGAAAAAGAAAAATCACAAGTTGTGAAAGTTTGCGCAGGGCAATTTTGTATTGATTTTGTAGGGCCTTTCCTGATGCACAGCGTCCCCTATTTATAGTACTGAACCTTGAGTCCGAGTTTACATCCTACTCGGACTAGGTTTCCATCTCCGGATCACCTCGACCAATCCTACACCTACTAGGACTATGAACCTAGTCCTTAGCTAAGCTGGATTAGTTTCCTGGATATCCGATCCCGTCGAGACTCCCCATTGCACTAGGATTCGTCCTAACCGCCCTAGGTTTGGACTCCCACGGGTTGACCGATCCATGGTCCTTTTGCCGCCCGGCCTCCTGGGCCGAGAGTGATCCTACCCTCGGCCCAAACTATTATTTTGGGCCCAAACAGGTTTATAGGAAGAATAACTGAAAATTGATTTGTATGCATATGATTCATGTGTGTAGAAGAATCCTTTAGCTATCATTTCATCTATATTTCATTCACAACTTAATTTACTTGTTGCCCTTTACTTTTGTTTTAATTAAATTCGTCCAAAATTTCCACCCTCATTGTTTTAATGTTAGTTTAACCTAGTTTTCAGTTTTATAAGTTTAGTTTGTGTTGATTAGCATCCCTTCTAATCCCCGGAATAAAACGATCCCTACTTACTTGTACTATGATTGCATAATTTATAAGGTTTAATTTGTGTTAGTTTCTACCACATCAAGTTCTTAGAACCTGAAGACAACATTGCTAATCTTGTTGTGATGTTTAGGATCCTCTACACCAGGTTCAGTGGCTTCAACTATATTTGTAAAAATATAAGTGTGTTGGATCAGGTACAGGCTATAACAGTAAAGATACTCAAAGTAAATGAGTGTCTTTATAGTGAAAGTTGTTTGGCTATATGAATGTTGAACTCTGAAGTGTACCTAGGAGTAACCAATCATATAACACCTCGCTTCGTAGGAAGTTGATGAAGTGACCTTTTTTGGAGATGGAATCAGAAACTCTTCACCAACTGAGACTTGGATAGGTTACCAACAAGGATAAGAGAGTGTTGTTTAACCAAACTAAAGGTCTCCTAGACCAGGCAGGTTCTATAGCCCCATTTTTGTTAATTAAACTGAAGGTGTCTCCAGTTGTTGACACGATGATGTTTAACCAAATTGAATATATGTCAACTGTGGGATGGGTCAATGATACGTGGAAAGAATGATTGAAATGCCCAAAGCCCATGAAGCGTAGTCTGGCAATCTCGGCTTAGGCCTATTAAGGATATTAATTATCTCCCAAGTAAAGAAACCCTAATTACGATATCTTAGGGATTAGGCAACTAATCAAGATTCTAGGAAGATTGGGTATCTTATCCTAGATTCCCTCTTAGATAGTCTCCAGATTTGATGAAGATTACTCATCCTACAAGAACTATCAAGATACCTATAAATGCACAAGCATGGCTATTTATCGAGGGGACATGACATCTCTCTCTTAGACTTCTCTCTAAGTATAATATTCTCTACATCACACATATTCTATCTATGCCTAATAATGGCCCTTACGCTGCCTCTACACGTACAGACGTCCATGGAGAACTCCTCTACATAATACCCCACCATAGGTTATTCGTCAAGGATGGTTCACCCCATTCTTTCATAAAACTACACCCGTAGTTTAATTCTCCTTCCTGTAGATATGTAGGTAGTCATATTCGGATTCAACCACACCTCCCAATCAACCCTATTCTCCCCTTGCCAGAGGTCATGGGCTACTTCGACTAGATTTCACCTCCATCTGCAAATGTGCACAAATTTGGTTCCAACAATTGGTGGTTTCATTGAAAGTGAATTTGTATTCCCCCGACCAAATCACTTTATTGACTTGTGAATCTACTTTGGAAAAAAAATGATCAAACAAAGGAATTGTAGTAATTTCAATTGGAGTGGATTTGTGAGTCTCTCAAAATAATTGTGTCAAAATTCCATAATTTAATTCCAAGCTGTTTGACTGTGGTGAAGAAAAGAAGGCCCAGGGCACAACGTTTTCATATTAACGTTTTTGGATGTTTTAGATATTTTGAAGATCAAGATAGCATATTCGAGGAAGGTTCCTTCTGAGGATTTGTTGAGGATGTCTTAAGCTTTAAGAAGAGACTTTTTTGGACCAGATCAAAGTTGATTTGATGGTAAAAATCTTATCCATGAGCGACAACAAAAACAAGGACGATGGTCACAATTACTTAATAAAGGATTGAAGCGTCACGAACCCCAACTCTATATGACGTGAAGAAGAGTTTTATTAATTGCAAGGCCCAGATTTTTCCAAGTGGACACAAAAAGAGAGGGTTTGTAATACCTTTATTTTTTCTTTCTAATATCTTATTTATTTATTTTTTCTAATATCTTATTGCTTTGAAAAGTTTATATCACTTTACCATGAAACAAAAGAGTACAATCTGACTATTTGTTATTGTTTTGCAAAAGGGATACATGCTGATTGCACATCCCCTCTTCTTTTCAGATCCCCAGCATTGGACTAACTTAGTCCAACACCATTCTGGTGGAGTTAGTAACTCCGACAATGACACAACCTCTTTGATGAGCATGGCCAAGTCTAAAGACAAGAAGAAGTACACACGGGTCAAGTCACCCCTAAAAAAGATATAAGGTTCAACTCTGGAACTAAGTCTCAAGTTCTAGGTTCCGAACCCACATATGAACCATGATGGTTCTACTACACGGATTCACGATCTACGACATGAAGAGTAAAAAGAAAGAGAGATGATAATCCCATAACTTAGGGACAGGCGTACCCAAGCAAATCCGACAAGCATGGACCTAGTTCACAAGAAACTTCCAAGCAGAGAAGCGAAGGCAGGTTAGCCTCCGTGTAGGCCAACACTTCATCGCGAGTCCAACTCATGGACCTCTCGTCTGAAGTCTACATGCAACTCAATTCAAGTACATCAACATTCCAACTGGGGCAATGCAATCATGCCTAAAATCCATTATGCACACTCTAATGATCTTCAACAAAAAATCGACTTCCAGGATGAATTTATTCACAAGACCAATCAGAGACGAAAGCTAAGACGCCCAGCTTGATTCCTATTGCTCCAATCCTTCACTGTGTGAGGTTTCTTTTGTGAATTTTTTATTTTTGAAAATTCGTCATGGGAGAAGGGAAATTTAGATAATAAGAAAGCTTCATCCTTTTTGCATTCTGCCTTTATACATATATGAGGCATTTAAGGGAATGAATCCTCACTTTTTCTTTTTACAAAAAGTTGGGGATTAGTTGTGGGACCTACACCATCTCGAACTTCAATGATCCGAACCGTTTATTTTTTACAAAATATTAGTTAAATCAGAAATATTGAAGACATCTAATTGAGTTTATAGAAATTGACAAACACTTTGTTATATAAGAAACAATGAAATTTCTTCGTGATAATTAAATAGAAAAATCGGTTTGAGATTAAATTGAATTTTTGCAAAAATAATATGTGAATCGAGATTTACAAAATACACGGTTCGAATCGTTAAAATTTAATGAGTTCTATAATTAGTCCATTTTTTACCAAAAAATGAGAATTCCTTTGGATAGGCCTACACACACACACATATGTATACGTATACACACACATTCTTTTTTATATTTTTAGTGAGGGATTCTGCTTATAAGAGAGAGATTTAAATAGAATATTTAGTTTACATTCTTCACATTGCATTGCAGTAGAATTTTTTAATTACATTTTTAAAAGATATAAAATAAAACAAAAATATAAGTGTTCATCTAGACACTTGCATCTCCCGATGAGATGCTCTTAAAAAGCACGCAAGAAAATGAGAGGGGGACCCAATGGCAATGGCAGAGAAAGAGAGAAGGGACAACTGTTAACCTCAAATCGTCCACCAACTGCCAAATCTCGACCGTCAAAAATACCCACATGGTCCCGTCCATCGTGTTGGTCGAACATAACAACTATCTCCTCGTTTTTGTAGGTGAGCAATCAAACGTATAACAAACAAGAAAAATGCTCAAATAAAATTCCCAACAAGAAGAGCAGCAAGAACAAGTCTCCTCTCTCTCTCTCTCTCGTTCCTCTCTCTAAGCTGCTGTTGTTGTTCTGCTTCTGAATACTTTGTGTTTTGATGGAGAAGGAGAATATTTATGGTTTAGATGATGATCATGTGGGGAAGAAGATGAAGGGCAGTGATGGGGGTTTGGAAGGATTTGCTTTGGTTTCTTCCACAAGGATTGATTGGAAACCCAGAAGGAGATCACTAATATCATCAGGTACTACTTTTATTAATTAATTATTTAATTAATTGTTGTTCATGGAGAATTTAAGCTTGGTTTTTGTGATGCTTGCAAGATTTAACTTGCTTAATTTCTATATACCACAATTGATCAGTTCAGTTGAGCTCATTCAATCATTCTTTCAGTTGTAAGCTTGGTATGAATCCTAACGTGATCCGAAAGATTAAAGCCAAAACACTAGTTAATTAGTTTGGTCTCTCTTGAGAGAGAGAGAGAGAGAGAGAGAGAGAGAGAGAGAGAGAGAGAGAGAGACTTTGCTCATACCTTATTATGTGTATTAATTTGCAATTTGCATTTGTCTTTGTTTTCAATTTTGGCCCGTAATCTTTGACGTCTTCAAAGGATTACTTACTCCTTTTCAAATCCAACCAAAAAAAAAAGGTTTGACTTTTAAGAGCAAGCACATCTAATTTTTTATTAATTAACCCAACTGTGAGCATACTTTTATTTCATAAGAAAATGCGACCATACACATTAAAAAAAAAGGCAACCATAAGGTTTATTTTAGGGGTTTTTTTGTTTTTATTTTTTTTTTCAAATTGAAAATTCATTTGATAATTTTTTTTAATTTTCAAAAAAAGAAAACAGAAAACTATTTTCTTAAGTTTTCAAATTTTGATTTTTCATTCTTTTTTTAACTATAAGTAGTTATCAAATGGATTTTCAATTTTTAAAAATACAAAATAAAAACGAAATATTTATTTATCCATTCTTCTTAGTCACTTCGTTTTGGATGCGTTAGAGGTCTGTGCGTTTAATGAATTCCAGACCTAGACATTACCAAATTGGCTACTAATACCTTTCTCCTCATTCAGCAATAAAGTTCAAACCTACAAATCATTTAATTGAGATTGGATTAATAAAAAGGAGATATCTCCAATATATGTATCATATTTCTTATCTTCATACGGACAAATTTATGGTAGAAAGTTCTATTTCCTATTGGCTTATTTTATTAACACCTTACATATTGTTGAATACACCTTTTGCATACGTAATTCACCATACATTTTTTTTTCAATTATAATTTATTTTAATACACCTCACAAACTTTCCCCAAATACCACCACATCCCTACTCTCAACATACACCTCATATTTTCTATTTACACATCACACATCTTAGGTGCAAATTCAGATTTTATGTTTTTATTTTTAGATTTACACCCAACACTCTTCACATATTCGAATTATGAGGTGGTTTCTATGTTGTTTCTTTTCCCTTTAAAAGATTGAAGATTTAGGTTCAAGAATCCTCATTGATGGAAAAATATGAAATCTGACCTCCTGTGAAACTTCCGAAATGTTGATTTCATGTTACATTTGTCAAAATATTTTTTTTCGATCAAGATGTTTATAGTTTCATTGGTTAGAGTTTTGTTCTATAGTGAAGGGTGAGAGTATGGTTTTGAGAGTTGAATAAGATAAATAATTTTGGGATATAAAAGTCAAAAGTGATTTGGGGTGTTGTTAGATTTTTTTTAAAAATATTTCTAAAGTCTTATGAGGTTGAAATTGTTAGTGCATATTAGGGTATATAAATCATTTAATATCAAATTTTAATGTGGGGATGTACTTAACATTATGGTGGGTGACACATCCCGACCTGGAATGTCCACTGGGACTTCAAATCAAGATGTGTTGGTCAACACCTATAAGGTGACAAAGCCATAAAGTGTAGTGATGTGGAAAATTTTAATAAATTTAAACCTAAAAGTGCCTAAATATAAGAGTGCGTGGTGAGCGGGTATGAACTCATTTCACACGTGATGACAAAGCATAAGTACAGTATAGTAAAATAGGGTGAGAATTATATCATCGATGGTAATCGTCTACACTAAGATTTGCTAATAATCCTCGTCGGTACAAAAACTCTGCTACTAGAACTTGGAGGGGTGAAAAACAAGGGTGAGTGGGCTTGAAAATAAAGTTTTAATAAAAATCTTTTGAAAATGTTATAACCCTCGCCATAAAACCTGTATAATTTTCAGAAAATAATAATACTACATAGGTACGAAAATGAATGCACAAGTGCAGTGAAAACAGAAGCATGTCATGCTACAGTATCTCAGCAATAATAAATGTAAATCAGGTGTGAAATCTGTCTAAACTAGCATGCCAGTCGGAGTCACCTAATGTGAAATGTACGACTAGACCTATTGCTCATCAATCTATGCTAGCACACGAGTCGGAGTCACCTAGTATAACCTATACGATAGGCTGGATGTAAATATGTACACTCTAGTGCTACGATCACGTGATTGCTAGCGATAAATCGCAGGTCACCTATGAGTCAGAATTGCCTAATGCAGTCTATATGACAGGCTAGCACCTACTTGGATCAAGGCGAGTGTGTGGTACGGGAGGTGAACATACACATGAAGGTTGTGCCCTGGCCCCGGGGCGAGATCACTAACACCCGGGTGCAGCAATGATAAGCTCTAAATGAATATATACATGCTCATATAATGCAACCACTTCAATCACATAATAACTTACCTGAACTTACCTGCGCCCCCGTAGGATCATTTGGCATGATCACAAATCTCATCATAATGCAATATTTAAATATAACACCTTTAAATCATGGCATGCTATGCATAACTTAGTTCAAAGCATTTGTGGAAACTATAAAGTATGTATGTATGTGTATATACATACATACTATAAAAAGGAAAAAGACCCACTCATCTGAGGTCCGCGCCACAACTCTCTAGCACGAATATCGAGGCATCACAAACGATCGGAGCCTAGAACAATTATCAAATCACATCTCAGAATTTTTATCAATAGAACACGTAACTTATATATCCTATTCAAGAAGATTCGTAAATCAGATTCCTGATCCGTAAATCAGATTCCTGATCCGTAAGTTTCTAATATCCTCAAATATTATGTATTATAACGTATCAAAGTTTGGTGACAATCCAACGGTCCGATTGTCAATTCATTTATTAACCAAGTGGTGGTCATTAACGGAAATATAACCAAACAATGGAAATTTCACAAATCGAAGGGCAGATTTAGGTTTGGCATGTCAAGGAACCTAAGGAATGACCTCTGGTTTTTCCCCCTCGCGTGGCAGTTAGTCGCCCCTACTCGCTGGAAAATCCAGCAACTCCAAAAATTCTCAAATGCTACAGGAATGAAGATCTTGATGAGAGGAATAACTTTCATACATGTGACTAAGGTCAATTTCGTTGGGAAAAGCCTCAATTTCATCCAAACCAGTCGGAACCCTAGATTTAGGTGTGCATTGATTCGACTCCTCCGGTGCTCCGCCGCCTCTATGGTTGGTTGGGGTTTGTTCCTAGGTTCAAGGAGAGTCTAATGTTGGTAGAGATCGTCAGAAATCGTTTCACAAATGGTGATTCGAGGCCGAGACCCACCCGGACCCATCGGTGGGTTTTCTCACCGCATCGGGGCTAAAATTCGTTGTTTGGTTAGAATTAGGTGATGGGTGTTGTGGTGAGGTTTAGTGGTCATGGAAGGTTCAAGAAGGCCGGAAAATTGGACAGAAAACCGTCGGAAAACTCCAAGGAAGTTAAGTCATCGACCGGGTCAAGGGGAACCCGATCGATTCCCTCCATCTCCTTTTACCTCCTTTCCTTTCTTGGTCTCTCTTCCTGTTGGTCACTCACTTCTCTCTCTTGTCCCGATTGGGCAGTGCCCATCCTCCTTCCTCTCCTTTATCTTTCATCTCCACCGCCCAACTTTTCTTCCCTTTAATCTAGGCCACACACGTAACTTTCCAGATTTAAAGTGTTTTTTTTTTAATAAAACATCTTTGCCTGTTAGGATTTTGATTAAGGAGCTTAGGTGCACTAGGCCACATTAGTATTTCTTTTTATCAAATTAAAATTTATTATTTAATTTTTTATATTGATTCCTTAATTTGTCCTTTAATTAGTTGAGCCTTTTTTATCTGCCAATTTTTGTATAGTATTTTAGAAGTCGTGGACTCTTTTTCAAAGGAGATAATCTTGGGTTTTCTTTCAAAATATTTATCCAATTATCTCTTTTTTATATTGTTCCATAAAAAATATTTTTTTCTTGTAAAACTAAAATATAATTTTATCTTCAAGATAAACAAAATGGTGGATGTTTATATTTCTTTAAATTACTATGTATACATTTCATTGAGAGAATTATTTTGTATACACTATTGATACGTTTATTATTGGTTTTCATCATGGTCTAAAATATCCATAATATCCCGATATTTCCGATATCGTCGATATTTTAGACCTTGCTAAGTCACTCATGTATCTTACCATGCAATGTATAAAGTGTAAAATATTATACTAATTCATTATTTATAAATGATTATGGTGTGTTTAAACATCTTTCATTAATTACTACATATTTTTTACATTCACAATGTTTGCCAGCTCGCTATATAATCAACTTAAATCAGTTATATCTATCATGCAATGCATTTCCTTCCAATTTTTTGTAATAAACTAATAGATAATTGACTAAATAAACATCCTGCAAAGTTTGAATAAAAATTTTCAAATTTTTCTTACAATTTCCATGGTTTTTATTCAATTTTTATCGATGTCGATAATATCCCGATATTTTCATCGAAATTTCCGTGTTTTTGGACTACCGATATTTCCGATATCATCGATATTTTATACCTTGGTTTTCATACGTTGATTTCTTCTTATTATCAATTGGTATGTTTGTTTTTAGTATTTGATACATCTAATTTTTGTTTTTTTTTTGTATGTTTAGTTTTAATTTTTGGTAAAATATGGTTGATTGATAACTTAATAATTATCTCTCTTTATTTTGGATTTAATAATATAATTTTGGTTTAAAAAAAGGATATATTTAGGAGCTTTGGATATTATTTTTGGTATAAATTGGTGGATAATTCATGTATTGTATTTTTAGAAATGTGACAATTTAAAAAACGTGGCACCAAAATTGTAGAAAGTAGTTCAATAAAAAGTCTAAAAGCAAGAGATATTTGGTCTAACAAATTCCAAGATCAAGCACCTAGATCAAATTCCCCTAACCTTTTTGAGATTTATGATTGAGTTGCACCCATGTACAAATGACCTAATTGAGTACAAATTCCTTATCTGAACTTTAATTTAGCGGTATGGTATGTATGTACAAGGATCACCGCACACTACCACTGTTATCTTTTGTATGCAACCCGATATAGCAGTAAAAGCAAGACGTGTACCCGGATCGACTCAACAAGTGCCCATTGAAATAGGATCCACACACAACTCAACTGATAAGCTATTGTACATTAGTGTCCTGTACTTGTATACTGAAATTCCTTCTGTTATTCTACTCCATATATCGATCACTGCATTCTGGTTCGAACTTTTAATGCCACCACCTTGTACAAAATATGCTGCATCTCTAAATTCGATTGCACTAGAAAGTGAATTTGTTTCCCACAGCTAGCGGGAGGAATATAGACAAGGTAACAGAAGACATTGCTAGTGATAGTCCCGACAAACAGGAAGCGTCCATCACCAAAGAGGAAATGCAGGACGTAACTACTGCCGCTGAGCTCTCTGAACGTCGAAAGGCCCTTTTTGAACCCTTAGAACCTATAACAAATATCAATGGCAAACGTCCGTCAGCTGAATCCTTACTTCCTCCACCGGACTTTGATGCCACAACCTATCCCAAAGGGTGGCTGATTGGGAAAAAGAGGAAACTAGTTAACGTTGATGTTGTTGAGAAGATGCGGAGGATTGCTGTTCATGAAATGAACAGAAAGGTGTCATTTCCAACACCTCGCATCGTCTCCAACCAAAGGAAATGCTTTTGCAACGAATTAAACTGCTATTATTTGTTGTCGTTTCAGGATAGGGAGATCGACGGGCTAAACGAGCAGTTGGAAGAGGATGCCAGGTGCCTAGAGCACCTGCAACTCCAACTCCTCCAAGAGCGAAGCAAACGTGCAGACATGGAGAGAGAGAACGCAATGCTGCAAGACCAGATAACAATGCTCATGAACATGTTGCAAGACGACCCCGTGGATGACGAAGGCTCCGACGAGCCATAGATGTTGTTTGTTATTTGTTTCCTTATTCTTTTTGTACATTTGGTTGGAGAAAGCAGTCACATAACAGATGCTACACAGTATGCAGGTGCTAATGCCCTCTGCACATGCCTATTACTAGAATCTTGCGAGTCATATGTCAAAGTATGTGTCTAAGCTGTACTTATCTTGGCTAGTTTTATGCGTCAAATGATTCCTCATCCATAATTCAAGTTCGTTCACTGTCACTGTCACCAGAGGCCAATGCCGATACACGAAACAAATTTAACAGATAGTAGTGTTCTGGATACAATTCATTAAGAACACAACTAGCCCTTCATTTCTTTCGTTTGCGATTGGAGATAAACAGGTTTGAAACTTCTGTTTAGTGTCCCTCTCCTGCGTGAAAGTTTACGGGTCTCGAAGAGAGGGAGGCAAAGCAATCTGTTGACCGATATCAATTTATCAAGGAAACAGATGGCGCCGATGGGCCAAAGCGATCACAGAAGGGCAGACTCTTAGAGTGTTAACAAAACTCACATGGCTAAAAAAGAACACTTGTTCATTGTATACAAAGGTAAGATGAGTACTGTTCTGAAAATCTCCGCCTAGCGCCACCCAGGCCCCTCCTAGGCACTAGGGCTGGCTACCGTCCCAATTAATTCCTAAGCGTTTGAAAAATAAGAACTAGGTTGGTGTTATAAACACGTCAGCATTCTTCATCAACGAACGTACATTTCTGAATCCCTTACACGTTTCAACAACCTGCACCTGTTGTATTCACAGACGTGAGAGCCGCCATTTAGATTTCTATGCTTTTGTACAAAGACTAATCCGGGAAGGTAAATGACTACTCCCTAGCCTAATTACATAATAACCTTATGACCAGTTAAAAAGAAACTGAGGAAGAGATGCTATCCTGGGAATATTAAGAAGCAGTTCCCCAAATGAATCCCTTCTCCGCATGGTCAGTTCCTGCTTGTCAGCAGAATCATCGTTGGGCTCACCCTTGGGTACAGGAAAACCTTGTACAGGCTTACTCTCACGAGCTGATGCAAAAGCGGAGTTGGTTTCCGCTGCTTTCCGATCATCACTTCCATTCAACCACTCATCGCTTCTGACTTGCAAGTTTAGTTCTGTAGAAGGATCCTTTTGCAAAAGGCAGCAAAGGGAATTGACCCTCGTCATGAGGGACTGCTCATCAGAGGGTAACGTGATTTGGGAGTCACTGAACAAGTACTGTGTAATCTCCTCCAACATGTCTGTGCTGGGTTGTTCCTTTCCGGAAATGCAATTTCCAATGTGGCTTACGAAGTCACTCACTGACATTGACGAAGGAAGTCCAGGAACTTTTATTTGATTGAACTTGCTGAGCGTCTTTGAGGTTCCAGCAGTGTCCATCACTGTATATAAGAGGACAGAGATTAACTAGCTCTGGTCTCAACTTTCTCCAGAATTTATATAATAGAAATCAATCGTCGTAAAACAAAAGAAAAAGGACATCTTTCCATGGACAACTACAGTTTTTTTTCTTTTCCATATGAGGCCTTCTTGGACTGGCATTTCATTGATCTCTAGGTAGCAGATGATTTCTTCCAAAAAAAAAAAAAAAACATTTAATGTCATGCTTGGTGTACACAAACGGTGGGTGGGTGACTTGCTTCCTTTTTTCTGTTTTGGGGTAAAAATAGATGATTTTCTGCAAATGAATGACTTTCTTTCTTCCTACGGGGCGTGAAAAAAAATATCAGGATCTAATGCACTCAATAGATAAGCTACAACAATCTAACCTATATGGTGCATCCATGAAACTATCTTAGTGAAACAATTACCAAAAAGGTAGCAACATCTATAGCTCCTTTAACATTCATTATCTTAGGGCCCATTTGATAACCATTTCAGTTTTAGGTTTTAGTTTTCATTATTTATTTTACTAGATATAAAGAGAAAGTAGAAGGAAAGATGGATGAACCAAGAATGTGGATGGAGTGTGGTAGGAGGGAGGATGACGAAATGCACATGAAATTGTCATACAAAATGAATACGAAAAACTAGAAAAGATAACCTACTTAAAATTGTTTTCAGCTTTCATTTTTGGTTTATGTTGGTACATTTCATGGTGGCGTATTTCTGTACAAATTAACTTGATTAACCAAATCAGCTGCAAATTAAAATATGGAACATCATGTTTCAAATTCCATCTTTTTCTACTCGTTACTTGTTTCTTTTCAGATTTTCTAATCCCTTATTCAGTGAAAGTACCTCTTATCCTCTGAACCGATAGTACCAGAAAAAATAACAGATCCCAACCCATTTACTGAACCAAAGGGGACGATGATGAAGAGACTTTCAAACATAATTCTCAGGCTCACATACTTTGCCAACAGAATTTCTGTTGAAGGGGATCCGTAAGTTATTTTGTGACTATTTATTCTATATATGCAGAGACAGAATTGACGAGATATATATGCTTCTAACTCAGGTTACTCAACGATATGATGAAAAATGAAAACATGTTAAATGCAAGAAATAAACAGAACTGCAATTGCATGGGAATAAAATCTTAAACCCAGAAACACAAGTTTTAATCATAAGTCATGGGGGAAGAGAGTGAGGATTGAATTTTTAGCAAATATAGTAATTAAGCAGTTTTTTAATACTATACGGTTGAGTATTTATCACTATAACAATTAACTCGGTTTGAGGTTTGCAGATTTACCTGTACCAGGTGAAGAAATTTCCTGGGAATAATTTTGAGGAGCTCTACCACTAAAATCTTGTTCATTTTTAGATGGCGACGAATGAGCTCCAGAAGGTGATGCTGATTCCTGCAAACCAAATATCGCAGACCCCTCTTCATTCTTTGTACCAAACCGATGTCTATATTCATCATCAGGGCCACCTGTTACGGTAGCTCTAGCATCAAAGAAAGGAGATTCTAACACAATTTCTGGCTGCTGGCTTAAAAAGTTGAGACGAGGATCACATTGAATAAGCTTTTCGAAATGCTTGCCAAAGAGCAACCCTTGTGGGCACTGCAGAAAATGCCGCCTAAGACAAAGGAAAAATAAAATAAATTTGGAACACAAAAGATGACAATTCTCCACACTCTACAGTATGCATAATCGGTTGCTAACTACTAAATGAACCTTGTAAAACATTGGATAAGTAAAACATTAGAAAAACATCAAGGCATACCAAGTCATTTATAAGGAGTTCCTGCACCATGTTTTCTGAAGCTACCGTGCATATGTGTGCACATGCATGTGCATCATTGCACATACGGATATATATGATTTCCACGAATGGAAAGCTAAACACTTGTGGGATACCTAAACCAGTGAGATACACCAAGATTGGAAAGGTACAGAGTCTACATGCCTATGTTTGCTACAAGTATCCTTGTATTCTCATGTCACAGACCCAGACTTTGCAGCTTGTTCCATTCATTTAGTACATTTTAATGCGTGCAAACCACCTTTTACATGTGCGGGTGACAGACAGATAAAATAATAAAGTTGCTTAGATGGTTCAGTTCTAAACTTTACGGTAAAGGGTAAAATGATAAATAGCATGTTGCTGTATGGCAAGATAATAATTCAGGAGATTGTTTCGGACATAACTGTTTTGTACACCATAACTTTGACCATCACTCTAATTTGGTACACAAAAAGATTCACCCTTTATATAAGCTTCTCAATGTTTTAAAAAGTTCTCATAACTATAGTAACTAACCCATACCACTGACGTTTCAAATAAACATGTAATCAATCTAGGAAACATTCTGACAAAGATTCATGCTTTGGTGCTTAAAGCATCTAACTATTGACTACAAGGTTAGAGATACCTGTTCAAAGTGGCTTGTCCAGCAGTAAAATCAGATGTTGCCTGCCACAAGGTATGCTTCCTAGGTTGCGGATTGGTCTCCCTAAAGAAAAGAGGCGGTCTGGCAAGCTGCACCAAGAGATAATATAACAGATTATGAACTGATACGGCATAATTCCCAAGGGAAAAAGGAAAATTATGTTAAGAGTGACAATTACCACTACATCCAAAGTCCCCGGTCCATCATCCGGGTAGTTTGCCTTGATAGCCAAAACATCTGACCACTGAATTTCCATCTTGTTCTTAAGACTACCATCAAGCACTTCCCATACAAGTTTATGCTTGGCAAAATAACATTTCGCCACCAAATCTCCTTCGTATCTTGACTTATACTGCAACAGAAAATCGATAATACTTCAATCCAACATCCACCATCAATACATTAAACAAAATCGAATACAGAAAACATGTTCGTTTTTGTATACCTCCCAAGTCCCAATCCTTAGAAGGGAAGCCGGAAAGTTCATAGCCTTGAGCTTGTCTGATGCACCGGAAGCAGCAGCTCCCTTGTGACTTCTCTTGCCTAGGGTTGCCAATTTAGCAGATTTTTCTTGAGACAGCTTCATCTGGATCAAATCCAGAAAAGATGGACTTTTTTTGAGCTGCAAACCGAGCGGGCTCGGCTCATCCAGCGGATGGCACACCCACGCATCCACATCGCCCGGCATCTTTGACACAAACACCATGAAAAATCAGCATACTCTCAATACATCACATCAAATTTGAAAAAAAAACAAATTCATTTCTCTCTGAAAACGACTCCCTAATCTGTTTGGATGCTAAGAAAGTACAAGAAAACTAAAATAATTCAATCAAGCTAATTCAAAATCAAAAAACACGGGGAAAAAATATATTTTCTTCCTGAAAACGACTCCCTAATCAGTAATCCGTTCGGTTCTAGGAAAATTCAGGAAAATCAAATCAAATCAGCTCAATCTGTGCTAATTCAAAATCAGATAATACGAAAAACAAAATTGAAAGGAGATGAACATATACCTGCGGAGACGAGTCGAGTTTGAGCCGTTTGTGACTCGCACCGCGTCGGGTGCCACACGACTCATCGCCGTCCAACTTCACCGTCACCTTTCGCGGACTCATTAGCTGAACCATCGGCGCTAGAATTCACCAACCCCAATCTGGCTCGGCTGCACAGCGAGTTAACTCACCGAATTTTCCGATCCCGAAAATGTTTATAAAATTTCGCGTCAACGAATCAATAACCGCGTGGCGCTTTCTTCTTTCCTTTTAAGGCAGACGGCCCGTGGACGACCGTCACGTGCTACGCACATGTCCCACCGATTCGCCGTGTTCGCGCACAGAAATAAACTGGACCCGATTTACGTAAACGCCCTTGGGTTTGGGCAATGACTGCTCTTGGAGGCGGCCGGCGGCGGCCGATGACGTCAGCTGGTTTGGCGTGTTCTGTCGGGGCCGGGAAGTCACGTGCGCCACTTGCGTGTTTGGATAAAATTGGGAGGGCCCGCATTCTGACGGTTGTGAGCTGTGCAGGTGATTTGTCCGGTAATTGACCGGGTGGGTGATGAGTGTGCGGATTGTGATGACACGTATGAATTTGAAGTGGAATGAGGATCCTTTTTGTGAAAGACTTTAAAGATCTTCTAATCACTTTCGTTCATCGTACATTATACGATCAATTTTTATCAATTATTGTTTATATTTAATTTTAAATATAATAATTTACAATTATTTCTGATCGTACAATATACAATAATTGAATATAATTAGAATATTCATGAGATCTTCACAAAGATGATACGCAGAGGATCTCATTCTTTGAAACCAAGGGAAAGTCTGCCAACGTGTTATTGTGGATAAGGCTCAGCACCAACTTGTCAACTTTCCTTTTGGCAATGGATAATTTATAAAATGGGTTATTTAAAATTTTAAATTAAATTTGTAATTTAAATATGGGTCGTTAGGACCTATTCTAACTTTTAAAGTAAAACTCAAAGTTTAAGTTTTAAATTTATTCTAACTTGCTCTAACTATTAGGACAAATATGAGTTTTAGTTCAAAACTCATTTCTGGGGCAAATTTAGGCCAGGATTCTCTTGGATTAGTGGGCTTAACCAACTATATATGTTTTTTTTTTTTAGTAAATTACATAAAACTATGTCAACTATTGGGTCATTAATAGTTTATACCTCATATTTAAAAAGTTTTAATGTCATACCTTATCTTCGAATTTGTTGCAATGTCATACCTTATGTCAGTTGTCTGTTAATTCCTCTATTAAATGCTGACGTCCAATGAGGCGGGGCCCACTTTCTATTAAAAATATTAAATTTTTTTAAATATGAATTTTTTTTAAATATGAATTTTTTTTAAATATTAATTTTTTTTAAATATTAATTTTTTTTAAAATAATAATAAAATAAAATATAAAAAAAACCAGTTGAGGTGGTCCAACTTCGACGGGAAGGATGAGGTGGTCCGGGGAGGAAGGGTTGGGTGGGGTGCGACGATCTGGACAATCTGGGTTCAGATTTGTTTCTGGTTTTTTTTTTTTTTTTTTTTTTTTTTTTAAGATTTTGAATGGGAGGGAAGGTGAAGAGAGTGGAAGAGAGGGAGGTGGGTGGGAGGCTCGAGAGGGAGAAAGGGGGGTTGCGGGGAGGTGGGGGTGGGTGGGGTTCTGGGTTTGGAAAGAAGGTTTTTTTTTTTTGAGGGGGGACGACGAATGGTGTCACATCCCGGCCCAGGTCCACCATATCACGGGCCCGCTCCACCACCGTAGCACGATATTGTCCGCTTTGAGCTTACCATTCCCTCACGGTTTTGTTTTTAGGAACTCACGAGCAACTTCCCAGTGGGTCACCCATCTTGGGAGTGCTCTAGCCTCCTTCTCACTTAACTTCGGAGTTCCTACAGAACCCGAAGCCAATGAGCTCTCAAAATGCCTCGTGCTAGGTAGGGATGGAAATATACATTTAAGGATCACTCCCCTGGGCGATGTGGGATGTTACAATCCACCCCCCTTAGGGGCCCGACGTCCTCGTCGGCACATTTCCGCCCAGGGATTGGCTCTGATACCATTTGTCACATCCCAGCCCAGGTCCACCACATCCCAGGCCCGCTCCACCACCGTAGCATGATATTGTCCGCTTTGGGCTTACCATTCCCTCACGGTTTTGTTTTTGGGAACTCAAGAGCAACTTCCCAATAGGTCACCCATTCGAGGAGTGCTTTGGCCTCCTTCTCGCTTAACTTCGGAGTTCCTACGGAACCCGAAGCCAATGAGCTCCCAAAAGGCCTCGTGCTAGGTAGGGATGGAAATATATATTTAAGGATCACTCCCCTGGGCAATGTGGGATGTTACGGATGGGGAAGATGATGAAGGGGATGGGGTTTCGGGGGGGGTAGGATCTGGGTTTCCTTTTTTTTTAATATTGAGTTAATATTTAATTAATATTTTAAATATTTTTTTAATTTTTTTAATAGAAAGTAGGCTCTGCCTCATGCCACATCAATATTTAACAGAAGAATTGACAGACAACTGACGGAATATATGATATTGCAACAAATTCAAAGATAAGGTATGACATTGACACTTTTTAAAGATGAGGTATGAAACTGTTAATGACCCAATAGTTTAGGTAGTTTTATGTAATTTACCCTATTTTTTGAGTTTTAGTTTATAAATTCATTGAATCCAACAGCTAAGATCTAAAATGATCAAATTTAACCGTAAAAAGAAGATCTAACGATCCAAATTTAAATTTAACATCTAAAGTAATTAACTTTCATAGTGTTCCATGAGTTTCGTGGTATCTGTTTAGTGATTTTTCAATATTTATCGAAATCAAAATATTTTTATGTTAAACTGTTCATAAAATTAAATTGGGTTAGTCTACATAATTTTCTTTTTATTTTTAAAGTTACTTTAAGAAAAAAACTATCCTAAATTCCTTCCTTAATAATCTTGGCTAAAAACTTAACCTAGAAGGGTTGGTAGAGAAAAACTGTTTTTGAGTTAAAACATAAATTTTAGGTTTTAAAACATGGGTTGGAGATAAGAAAGTTAATCATTACTTAAATGTAATCTAATTATCAACAACCACATCTGTAAATTTATTTTAAAAATTTAGTCTATATAGCATTACCCTTTTATTTAAAATAATGCTAAGGAGACTAAATGACACACCTCGACCCGGGATGTCCACTAGGACTCCGAATCGAGCTATGTTGGCCGACACTTGAAAGGTGACAAAGCCATAAAATATGATGATGTGGAAAAGTATGAATAAATTTAAACCTAAGAGTGCCTAAAAAAAACGGAGTGCGTTGGTGAGCGGGAATGAACCCATTTCACACGTGACGTTAGAGCAGAAGTAAGTACAGTATAGTGGATTAAGAATCATACCCTCGAAAGAAATCTCCAATACTAAGATTTGCCACAAATCATCGACGATAAGAAAGCTCAGCTAATAAAACCTGAAGGGTAAAAACAAAACAAGGGTGAGTGGCCCTAGAAATAAAATTTTTAATAAAAGCCTTCTAAAACTTTATAACCCCTCGATGCAACACCTGTATAGTTTCCAGAAATGTGAAATAAAAAATATATCAACAGTAGTTCCATAAATATACCATGACACAACAACTTATCAGTAATATAAATAATCATGAGCTCAATAATCTATATTAGCACATAAGTCGGAGTCACCTATAGTGACCTATACGACTCATCCATATCTCATCAATCCATGCTAGCACATAAGTCGGAGTCACCTATAGTGACATGTACAACTTATCCATATCTCATCAATCAATGCTAGCACATAAGTCGAAGTCATCTATAGTGACCTGTACGACTCATCCATATCTCATCAATCCATGCTAGCACATAAGTCGGAGTCACCTATAGTGACCTGTACGACTTATACATATCTTATCAATTAATGTTAGCACATAAGTCGGAGTCACCTATAGTGACCTGTACGACTTATCCATATCTCATCAATCAATATCCCAGTAATATGTCAGCTGGATTCACCTCTTGTAGCCTGTACGGCTGAATCCATAGCTCATCACATATCCCTGCACATGAGTCAGAACCACCTCTTGTGGTCTGTAGGCTAGGTGTAAATAATTACGCTTAAGTGCTACGATCACGTGATGGCTGTGCGAAGTATTGCAAGTCACCTACGAGTCGGAACCACCTAATGTGGTATGTATGACAGGCTGGCACCTACCTTGAATCCAAGGTGAGCGTTTGGTGCGGAAGGTGAATGAGCACGTGAAGGCTAGGCCCTATCCTCGGGCGAGAGCACTAACACCGGGGTGTAGGGTTATGAGCTCTAAATGCATCTAATATGGCATGTACGACTTATAGACAACTTGTACGTCAATGTCGGAGTTGCTTAAAACATAAATATAGTCATGCCATCACTCAATCGTTCCAAATAAAATGTAATCATAACCATGCATTCCACATTTCACAACATATACTCACCTGAACTTATCTGTGCATCCTACGTTCACATTCGCACTTTAAAGCATTCACAATAATTATGCACAATAATATACTTATGGACATGCCCTAATGCAATCCAAAACTTAACCATATCGTAGTGCTTCCATATATATATATATATATATATATATATCAATAATGTAGCGTAAAATGCACAATCTATAACGCCCTACTCCCGAACTATAAATTTTTGGGAACAATTATCGGTGACAAGCTCAACTAAACACTAATTTAACTAACTATCGATACTTATGATTCTTTACTTCAATTTCTCGATCCTTCAGACAATGATTTATGACCAACATCCCATCACTAAATCGTAAGGTTAAATCTCACATTTTTCACCAATGTCCCTCACATTGCACAATTTCCCAAACAAGGCTATTGTCTCAATTATTTAATCTCATTTATGGTATTGTTGCATCTAACGTCTCGTTAGACTGCCTACGTACCCTAAACAGGGATCAAGCCATTCGTAGTTCGCATCAATTATTTGTAGGTAACATGCATATGGATATACCATGACATAATCTAAACTCTACCATCTCGTAGTACTTTAGAACATATACATATATATAACATGGCACATATTACTTAATTCAATTAAGAGTATTTTTGAAATTATCAATCATGTATATATATATACGATAAAACGGAAGAGATCTACTCACCTGGAGTCTGCCCTACCATTTTCCTATCATGTACCTCGAGGCGTCCTGGACAAACGGCGCCTAGGACAATTTTCAAAACACATCCCTAAAGATGTTTTCGAATGATTAGATACCAATTGATCAAAAGTCAACTGTCGGTCAAGGATTGACGATAGGGTCCATAACTCTACGTAACTCGATCCAAAAGATCCGCTTTTCAGATTTCCGATCAGAAACTTCCAAAGATCCACATTATGCTTCTAAAGCATTATCCTAAAATTTTACTATGGTCCAACGGTTGGGTCTCCGTCAATTGCCAAAAACAAGGTGGTGGTTAACATTTATTGTATGAACTTCCAAATCCAATTCGGGAAGATCTGCAAGTTGAATTCCCGATCCGCCAATTCCTATAATCTTCAAATATTATGTGTTATCACATATTAAGGTTTAGTAACGATCAAACGGTCGGATCATCGATTCATATAATAATCAAGTGATATACCTTAATCAAACTAGGTTCAGAATAATCCATTCACATCATATGGATATCAACTATGAACTTAGGCATCTAAAATGACTTAGAACGACATCTTCAATCCGCTGGCCACGCGCCGCCACGGGTGACGGTCGGCTTCCCTGACTCTCCGAAAATCAACTATTTTAAAAAATTCTCAAACTTCACAAAAATGATGATCTCAATGAGTAGAGCAACTTTCATACCTGCGACCAAGTCCAATTCGGCCGGTAAACGCCTGAAATCAGCCTTAATCCACCAGAACCCTATAATTGGGTGTTCCTTAATTCATTCTCAAGTCAACTCCGACGCTCCAACTAATGATTAGGCATTGTTCCTAAGCTCAAGGGAAGTTGTTTGATGGTGGAGATCGACGAGAATAGTTACAGAAAACGGCAAATTGTCGCCGGGTATCCTCGAAGCCGATGGCTTCGGTTCTTCCAGTACTGAGCCCAATCAATTCCATTTTTGGATGAGAAAGGAAAGTGGGACAATGTTGAATCATTTCTAGGTGGTGGCTCGCCTCAAATCGCTGGGATTAGGAAAGAATTTCGTCGGATTTTCCGCCCAAAACCGGGTCGGCGCACGAGGGTCCAATGAGCCAATCGGGTCGTAGGGTCCAAATCCCCTCCCTCACTCGTTTCCCTCATGTTCTCCCTTCTCTCCTCCCCCCTTCTCTCCTCCCCCATTGGTCAGTCACCTTCCTCTCTCCTTTTCCCCTTGGCCGAGCCCCTCCTTTCCTCCCTCCTGAAACTCTTCTCCTCCTTCATTTTTCTAACCACTTCCAATAATAAAAAAAAATAACAATAGCTATAAGACATAAATAGAATAATAAATATAAACCCTTACCAACGTACTTTCAAATTTATAGTTCCGTATAACCTCTGTCATAGTTCTGAATTCAATTTTTGCATGCGTCTACGCATTTGCACCGCCAAGTACTTTTAAAATACAGTAAGGTAATAGTTCATACGCATCATGAATTAGCGATCAACGAAAATCAATACCCTCGCCT